TTTTTTTTTTTTTTTTTTTTTTTCTATTCGTTTCGCGTTCACGACTCGTCGAGTGACGGTGTAATCGTACAACAACGGAACGTCGAGACAAATAGACGCGTTTGAGTTGGAGCGCGAACTACGAATTGCTGAAATACTTACCGTCTAGGTATTTTACTTGGTATCCTTGAGGACGACGCTCACTCGCCGAGAACCACGTGTATACGCTAAAAACTCGTGTCTTTTCGCTGCGCTCCAACGTTCCACGATCTTTCGTTTATCGTCGCATTCGACGTAGCAGGAACGACGAAGGTAGTTTAGTACCAGGAATTACTATACGCGGAGGTACGGGTATTCGTAGCACGAGATGCTCAAATCGCGAGTTTGCAGATCGTTCGATCGTCGAAAATACCAAAAGATGGAAACGCTGGTGGATCCGTTAAAACGTTAAAGCTTGGACATTTAATGATCCTGTGTTATCTCGGTTGTTGGACAACGAAAAGGTACGAGTTTGCAAGTTTGGAAAAAGTCGAACATAATAATTACATCTGATTAAGCGTGTTCCAATAAATAAGTAATTATCGTGACGTAGTTCTCGCCCCCTTATTCAGCGGGTGATCCAATCTTGTTCTTCTATCAGCAAATCGGGCGAATTTACGTAATCTCGTCCATATTCCACTGTCGTTGTCTGATCGAATTGGCCACGTTACCACGGTTCGCTCGTTTATTCGTTAAGGAAACGGGTATTGTTTGATTCTCTGAACAAACGGTTCGTATAATTAATAATAGAACTACGCACGTGCTGATTCTACCGCGTAGCTAAAGTTCACCTTTAATTTACCGAAAAGTCGAAAATAGCCGCGCGTAAATTACGTTCCGAATTCGTTTTACACCGCAAGATCGATTTCGGAACATTTATGATAATTCCACCGACGAATCTCGTCGAGCTCCTAAATACCCCGGCACGAGACTACGTAATCTACGCCCGAGATCTATTTTTGTACGAAAAAAAGAAAAAAAGACCAACAAAAAAAAAGAAAAAAAAAAGAAAGAGGAATGAAATTCGACGAAGAATTTGCTCTATGCGCGATGGCGATTCTTCTTTCCTCTCGTTGCTCGTCGTCGAGAAGGAGATAGTACTTTTTCCCATCACTGTACCGTGACACCTTTCGTAACGCTCTTTTAGCCTCTACGCGACATTCGAACGTTGTCGTCAAAGGAACGTTAACCAAAGATAATCGTCGGATGATTTCGAGAGCCGTAGCCATCGATTAGCGAAGCGTTCGAACAATTCGATTCGCGAAATATATTTCGAAACCGAAATAATAGAGAAACTAGAAACGTAGCGATCGATCGCCCTACAAGTCGGTACTCAACGACGTAAGTACCTGCGTGCTTACGTTTTCGTTGTTTCGTCGAGACTGCGATAGCGCGCGTATTTACTTAAATACATACGTAAGCTTCGCTCGACGCTGGTGTTTCAGCGAGGCGACACAGTGATTTTACGATCGTCGTGCCGATTTATCTCTTTTGTCCTTCTCTTTCTTTTCTTGTTTTTTTTTCTCCATAAAAGGAAACAATGAAAAAAGAAGGAAAAAAAAATGATGTCTTTCTATCGATTTTTCTTTATCTCGGTTAGGGATAATAGTTGACTGTTTCCTCTCCGATTCTGCTTCTGACCTCCTTTTCTATACCCCTTTTATCCTTCGCACTCCGTTCGCTGTTCTCGATAAACTTACATTTTAGAACTAAGGGATAGAGAACGGTACCGTTTGCGCAGTTTTCAGTGCGACGAACAAACATATTCGCGTACCTCGATTTTAACGCGAGGATCGCCGCTACGTGTTTTTTTTCGCGCATGAAATTGAAATTAACGACGCTCGAATATTCGAAGCTCAAGATCCGACCGCGGTCCGGAAATCTTTGCACAAGTAGCGAAACAGAGTGGTTAGATCGAAAAGGTTTACGAATTTGTTTGTTCGAATACGGAAAAATTGACGTTAATAAGGAGAAAAGAAGAGGACGGGGATATTGGAAATGTAGCGAATGTAATCCGCGTAGTTCCGGTCACTCTCGAAGTTGTAATTCTGTTCTTTTATCTCGATTACACGTCGTATAACACTATACACACGTTCGCTCGTACACACATATTTTTAAAATGTTTTCTGCATTTATAATGTCGTAATAAAAGTTTCGAATCGTGTCATGAGAAAAATTACTCGTACGTACACTGACAATGAAAACCACTGCGCGTATACGAAGAATCTCGTTTGAACTTACCGCGTATTTGTTGCTCCAATCGGAACACACGCACTGGCAATGGCAGCGCACTCTTTCGGTCGACGTTGCCGTCCGCGAGAAGACGCCACTTGTCTCGCTACAAGCGTCGACGAAAGTTGAACCGCTCGAAACGCGGTAAACGATTCGCTCGTCGAAATTACCAGAGGATTACGAGATCGTGTTCACCGTCGACCTCGTCGTCGTTGATGTTTCGTACGACGATACGCACCTGGGGTCGTATTCGGCGTCGCGATGTACCGGTGTACGATTTCCTCGCTGTGTTTCGCGTCCTCGACCATCGTGTCTCGCGCAGCACGTCGATCTTTGCTTTCTAAATCGTTTTCCCGGCTAACGAGAGTTTCAGCGATGTAAATCGTTCGCACGTTCCTATCGCGGACTCACGCACGGATTAAACACGCGCGATATCTCGTTCGTCGTGTGTGTTTTACTCTGTCTTACGCGAAATCGGTTTTCGTTTAAAATACGGCGACATGGTCCTCGAAAGACGTGAATCTGCGCGCGCGCCATTGCTGCCAGCTGCCGAACGAAAGGACCGCGCAGCGCGGCAACTGCGAAGGGAACGACCAGTTGGTGAACATGGTTATGTTTACCGATTACGCACTATTTTCACCTCGAACATTCGACTGCGTCTCGAACTCAAGATACGAACCTGAATCGTGGTAAGTGAGCTCGTTTTTCTTCCATTTCTGTCACGGTATGCAATGAAAACGTCGTCAAGTTTACGAATATAACTCATTTATTTCGTTCGTACTCGATGCGTGCCAGAACATCTCTATGCTATAGTCGATACAAATTGGCTAAGGCTTTGGACTATCTCCGGTATATTTGCGACTCTTTCGCGAGACGTTGACGGCCATGTCCATATAGTTGAACTTGTAGACGCATATACGTGTCGCTGCGCGTATGCGTACGCACGTGTCTAGACTCGAACTATGTACAATTTGGACGCGTAACGTAAACGAATAGGAAAACGAGTAGTAGGAGCAGGATGCGAGAGAAAAGTAACGACGAAATGTAGAGGAGGTAATAAAGACGCGAGACAACCGAACAAAGGTATAGAAAACGCGGTGGGAACACGTCCCGCGAAGAATCGAC